GAGTATGAAGATTTCTGTCTTCTGGGTTGTTGCGCTGTGTAGTCTGGTTGATGTTAACCAACGTTTCAGAGGTCATACTGCCTCCATCATCAGGGTGATGAATCACAACCCAGAAGACCGAAATCTTCAATGTTAATTGTGTTTGTTACATAATAATGATATACCGCCTATTCACTAATTACATGAAGCAGATTCCAACTCGGAAACTTAGAGCCGCTCAGGTAGTAAAGAAATGTCCGACGCCTTCAAGGACCCGGAGGTTCATTGCCGTGTTCACAAGAACCAGCCATTGGATCTTGTCTGGAGCGAAATGAGTAGTCAGAGATTGCTAGAACTACTATTTCTTTTCCGTTCTGGGTTCAAAACTCGAAAGTTGGCCGTCCTCACTGAGATGTTTCGCGATATTCCTCTGTCCCTCCAGGAAAGTGATGAGGTAGTACCTGAAGTGTATCACGACAGCTTCTTTTCACACATTCTCCAAATCATCGTTGACAAAAATCACACAATCATTCGATTCTACATGATCAGTTCAGTTTGAAAATACGTTTTTAATATAAACAAAGAGTCGATCGACTATAATAAAATATTAAGATATGTTTCATAACGCATACAGGCAGCCTACGTAGTTCGAAGATGAGTCTACGAAAAAGAGCAGACTGTTCGACGTCATGGAAACTTTGTGCTACTTCGGACGTTTTAAGAAATGCTTGTCAGTTAAGTGTTAGACGGACCATGAAGTGCATGGCTTACTAACAATTAATTTTATGATTACATTCTCATAAAGGAACACAGTTGTGTACTGTGTATCAATGCCTGTCTATATATGGGTTTAATGTTCTTCGGGTTTCTTATTTTTATATTTCTTGTTTCTTTTTTCACAGCAATTTAACTTCCGTGTTATTTATTTATGGAACTTTATTTAATTCGCGGGAATCCAACATTATGTGTGTTAGAATAATGCCGATCTCCAGAGGACATTAATGTATGACTCCACGGAGCAGAGGCTCTCATGAGCAGCTAACAGTCACTCAGGTACTCAAAAACACCCCATCTTTCATAAAACCCTAAGATTTATTACCATTTTCACAAGGGCCTGCCGAGACCCTTCGTAATTTTTCGTAATATGCTCGCTTTTACGGTGAGAATATGTTAGCCCCCTGCCCAGCCTCTAGCTGGATCGTCTTGTCCTTTGTTCGCTGTACTGTATTTACAGTTACCCTCCACGTCTGGGGGCGTTTTCTTTCGGCACCCCAAGCATTCGCCATGACGCAATGACAAGGGACACCCTTGACAGGGCTCAAATATATTACGTGAACTTCCTTGAATAGAAACCAGGCCAATGTTCAGCAGAAATTGTAGCACATGTGGTTACCCATGCTTGTAGCAACCTACGCAAAACGTCA